ACAGGCAAAGAACTTGAATGACATTTCACCGAGAAGAAATACTAATGGCCAATAAGCACATGAAAAGATGGTCAACATCCTTGGTCTTTAGGGAAGCACAGATCAAAACCACCATGAAATGTCTATGATTTAAAAGAAAGAAAGAAACATGGCAAACCACAGGTGGTGGTGAGGATGCAGAGGGACTGGGGTCCTCATTCTTTGTTGGTGAGGCTGGAAAATGGTACCGCCACTGTGGGAAACAGTTTGGTGGTTCCTCAAAAAGCCAGACATACAGTTATGATATGGTCCAACAATTCGACTCCAAACAATTGGCAGCAGGAGCACAAACCAGATACGTGTAATACCAATGCTTGTTGCAGCGCTGTTCATAGAAGCTAAAATACAGAAGCACACTAAATGTCTATCAATAGATAAATGCATAAACAAAATGTGATACCATAGTAGAGGGAAGAAGACACGTGATACTTTCACAATGGGGATATCTGGTGACCACAACCTTGGCCAACGGATCAAGGTAATCGTAGGTAAACAGGCATTGGCTGCCTTCTAGTGAGAAACAGGAGGACGATCACCCACATAAGTAATAGTCCTGCCCTAACATTTGAGGTGAGACTAGCCACGAGGCTCTAACTGGACAAACACACAATGTAGGGCATATTTCAAAACCATCTGGATCCTTAAACAACGCCGGTGCCATGGTAGGTCATGAAAAATAGGAAAACCCAAGGAGAGAGAGTTCTAAATTGAAGGACTCCAGAGATTCATTTTAACTAAATCCAATGTGTGGGAAGCGTGGTGGCTCTGTAGGATAATCGGTAGATTGTAAACCACAAGGTCAGCAGTTATAATTCATTAGCTGCTCCCCGAGAGAAAGATGAGGCTTTCTGTTCTTACAAAAATGTACAGCCTTGGAAACCCTATACAGGGTCGCTATGAGTGGGAACCAACTTGATGGCACTTAACAATAACAAACAACAAATACAACGTGTGGTCCGTGATTAGATCTTGTACTGAGCAACACAATGACTATAGAAGACGTAATTGGGACAAGCTGAGATATTCAAATATGGGCTGTAGATTAGATAGCAGTAGTATATCAATGCTAAATTCTCCAAGTGTGAGAACAGGATAGTGGTTTTGTAGGAGAATGCCTTGTTCTTAGGAAATACTGCTTAGGGATGATATGACATAATGTGTGTAACAAATGCTTAATAGTTGAACAAAACAGTGTGTGTCTATGTATGTATGGAGACAGAGGGAGAGAGAGGTGGGGGAAACAGAGAGAAAGCAAATGTGGCAAAATGTTAATCATTGGTGAATGGTAAGGGGTATCCAGGTGTTCATGGTACCATCCTTAAAATTTTTCTAAGCCTTGATGTTTTCCCACATAAAAGAGTAGATAAAAAGTATGTACTGAGCACCTGATAGCGGGTCATGTCTTCTTTGGAGGCAGGGTGGTATACTGGACATGGCGCTTTTAAAAAATTTTAAACTTTTCATTATGAATTGAGTGAATGTTTACAGAGCAGATGATTAATCTTGCATTCAACAAATCAGATTGTGTTTCATCTCAATGATTGTTATCCCCTCCATGTGTCCCATTTCCTCTTTGGGGTTCTTATTTCAATTCCACCCTCCTTCCCAACCCTTCTCAATTTTGTCCTTAGGTAAACGCTGCCTTTTTGATCTTGAATGGCAGACTATTCCATTGTGAGCAGATCTTATTAGTGCTATTATCCCCAGCTATATACCTATCCACCACTTGGCTAGACACGGGCCCAGCTAGATCAGTGCCCTCTGTCCTGGAGGAGACACTTGATGCAGTTCTGGCCAATCACAGTACCCCATTCTGATGCTCATCCAGGTTGGCCAATCAGAATCCTTCCCTGGGACTTTCTGAAGTGAAATGAAGCTCCTTCCTCTCTGACGCGATGTAGCTCTCAGTCTGCGATCCCTGAGGGGTTGGTGGCAGTGCCACTCAACCCATAAGAATTCAAACCACACCCAGAGGTGACAGATGGCAGTCCAGTGAGAGATGGCCTGACAGGGTCAAAACTCCAGCTTCTCAGTCTGAAGTTCCTGAAGCTCTGCCCTCAGTTCTGTCATCTAGTCTGTAAATAACAATAAAGCAATGCATCATGGGATGCATTATGGATAGTCACAAAGGGCAGAGAAGTAAAAGAGAAACGTGTGTGTAAGAGAGAAACGTGTGTGTGTGTGTGTATGAGAGAGAACACACGTGTGTGTGAAGAGACATGCTGCATGGTCATCAGGAAAGACTTTCTGAAGGGAAAGACATTTGAGCTGGGTCCTACAGGAGAGAGATAGTTCTGAAAGGGGGTAATATTCCAATGGGAGGGGGCAGGACAGTATGGACCAAGGTCAAGATGAGAGCAAGTGCAGGGAGCTGTCCTGAGGATGTCCTGGGGTCTCTTTGGTGGAGTGTTTGTTAGCTCAGATGGGAACAGCAAGAGTGATGCAGAGTTGCCAGGGGTGGACTACAGAAAGCCCCCAAGGACATGCTGAGAAGTGTAGACCTTACTTTGTGGCAGAGCCAGTTTTGATGACAGGAAAATCCTAATCAGATGTGTTAGCCATCCCCGGACCATGCTAGCCACTTCTCTCTGGAGTAAGGAGTCAAGGAGATGAGCTTCGCTAATGGCAGTGCATTTTCCCTGCATAATTTCTGCCCAAGGATCTCCACTGGGAGATGGGCACTTCCGTCTCTGCTTTGGTTTCTAGAACTTGCAGAGCATGGTTAGTAAAACATGGGGAGACATGCTGCAGCAGCCCCCCAATGAGAGACAGTGTGGTGGATGGCAAAGAACCCCAGCTTTAGAGTCAGATGACACAAATGTGAAGCCCAGCTCAACCATCTGACCTTGGGAAAACAATTTGACTGCTTTAAGCCTCTGTTTCCTCATCTGTAAAATGGGGACAACATTGAAACTCACTTATAGGACTGCTGGCAGGATTAAATGAGATAATCACAGAGTGTTGTTGTTATTAAGTGCTGTGGAGTTGGTTCCAACTCATAGCAACCTTATACAGGGCTTTTGAAGACCAAGTGGTGAGTTTGAACCACTAACCTTGTGGATCAAGCCAACCTCGAGGTCTAGTGCTTATCCTACAGCACCACACCAGGAGTCCTGTCCTTGGCCAAAGAATAAATTCTTTCCCACTGCCAACAATTATTGGCATACCATCACCACCAGATGACCCTCCACCAAATGCCCCCAGGGGCAGAGAGCTGACTGTTTCCAAAGGTTGTTGTTTTTGTGTGCTATGAGTCAGTTCCGACTCATAGCAACCCTGTACAGGGCTTCCGAGGCTATAAATCTTTACGGGAGCAGAAAGCCTCATCTTTCTCCCATGGAACAGCTGGTAGTTTTGAACAGCTGACCGTGAGATTAGCAGCCCGATTCATAACTACTACGCTACCAAAGCAGCCTGTGCCATTGTTGGGCAGATCTGGCCCTTCAGCTCTGCTGGAGTCTACTTGGGTTTAGCACCATTGTTGGATCCTAGCGGTGTCAGGGCAACAAAGGACCAGTTCTGAATCAAGGACAACAGATGAACAACCAACTCTCCTTCTCCTGGATCCTTCCTGAAGCTCCGTCAGTGGAAGTCCAAGACAGGCTGGAAGACCCCAGAACCACCTATACTTGTGGTGCAGCATCTGTAGGATCCTGGAGCTCCCATCCAAACGTGTGCATCCTCCAAGAGGGATACAGGGGCTCCACACAGAGACTGTGAAAACTGTCCAGGGGTGCCAGACCACAGTCTTCGTGGCTCTGGACTCCCAAGTGCAGACCATTTTAGTGGGGTCTTCTTGTGGACTTCCGAGACAACTCAAAGCCCCGAGTGAACAGTCTTGGAGTGTTTTATCCTTCCTGGTCCTGGCCTCTCTCCAACCACAGGGGACTAAGGCTCTTGACCTGGCCCTTGGCTTTTCCACACAAGCACATGACTATATCTCACAGCAGCCAATCCAGCCTAGGATCAGGGTAGAAGGAACCCATCAGCAGTCACCCTGACCTTTGACCTCTCTTCCTTAGAAAGGAAAGAGTGAATATCCAGGAAGAACAGATTCTGGAGCACCTGGACTCCTCTCCATTCCTGTCTCTGCTGAAAGATTTAGATCACCATCCCCAAGGTAAGATAATCTTGTTTCCCCAACAAAACCCATTATGGCTATCAGGTCAGGGATGAATCACCAATAAAAAAGGCTGAGATGGGAGGATAAGAGCAGGAGGTAGGGAGGGGTGGGGCCCAGGAAAGGCTGGAGGCTGATGGGGATGAAGGGGTGACCACTTCATGCTTGGCTTCTAGCAGCAAACTTGCCCTTGCTCTTGGTAGTGTCCTGGGCAGGGAAGGGCAGCCTAGCCCAGAGTCCAGGGCATGCTACAGTCAAAAGCAATGGGAGGGCCGCTTCCCCATCTTACCTGAATTGTCCCCCAAATAGGAGACGCCTCTCCCTTACAGGGTCCGAGTTGTATTCTCCATGGCTCCATTGGACTCAGGCTCTCTGTGAGAGAGCAGGGGCCAGGGGACTAAAGGGACTCTGGCCACAGTCACAGCCAAGGCCACAGACACTGGGAGCAAGCCCTTCTCTTCTCTTCCCAACCCTCTTTTCCACCTCTGTCTGGGCTACACACCACTCAGTCATCCTCAGTGGGCTCAGCAGGGAAAGATCTTCTCACACCTGGGACCAGGTTGTCTCCCCCCCCAACGCACCCCCACCCCAACCCAAAAGCCTCATTGCCCCTGACTCAGTTCTGACTCGTAGTGACCCTCTGGGCCAAAGGGGAACTGCCCTGTAGGGTCTCTAAGACCTCCACTGCTGGGGTCAACTGCTGAGTTTTGTTTAGCAGCCGAGTGCTTTAACCATGGTAGCATTGAAGTGGGAGTCTTTGGCCAGTGGCCCCCACTGCACAGGCTCCACCCTCCAGTCCTGATACGGCCCAAGAAGGAAGACGTGGGGGTGGGCAGCTTACCTGTACTCCAGAGAGAACTTGGTCAGCTCTTGTTTATTATGAAGCCATTTGAACTCCAGGGGCCAGCTGCCCTCCGCCATGCATGTGAGAACCAGGCGGTTCCCCTCCAGGTGCACCTGCGTCCGCACAGGCTCTGTCTTGAAGTATGGGGCCACATCATCTATAGGAAATGGGGATTGAGATCCATAGGTTAGCATTTGCTCACCTAGACGTATTAGCTCATTTAATTCCCTAACATTCAGGACAGGGACATGCTGGGAGACATGTGAAGTCAGATCAGTCAGTGGGAATCTTCCACCAGGACCCTGCTTGCCCTCCTTACCTGGCCTCTCCCACCCCAGGGTCACCTGACTCTGCAGCCCCCATCACCCTTGTTCCCTCTTCACTCCGGATGCCCACCCACCCCATACCCTTTGCTTCTGGAATTCTCCCTCAAGAGCAGAAGGAAGGAAGGGTGATGATGGAACTTCTGCCTACGAGACTACACAGGCAGACTCGAAGATACTCGGACTCGGATCCAGACCACGCAATAATGTGACTATCACAATAAAGCGAGTCGCATGGATTGTTTTAGTTTCGTGGTGCACAGAAAACTCATGTTTACACCATAAGGTCGGTCATCTATTAAAAAGTGTGCAACAGCATTTTGAAAAAGTTTGAAATATTGTGGAAATGACCAAACTATGATACAGAGACAGGAAGTGGTCACACTGTGGTGGAAAAACATGTCACCAATGCAGGGGTACCACAGATCTTCAATTTGTAAAAGACCCAGTAACAACGCGCAGCACAATCAGAGAGGTACAATTGAAAAGTACATAAGGAAACTAGGGAGGTAGTTTGTAGAAGATGAGGGTAATGCAAGGAGAGGGGAGTCTTGCTCCCCAAGGACAGAGGAAACCCCTCAAAGGCATGAGGGACAAAAGCACCCCTTCCCCCCACCCCCTCTGCACTTCTTTCAAGGCGACTCTGGATGAACTTGAACCTCCAACCTTTTGACTATCAGCCAAGTTCATTAACCATTTGCACCCTCTGGGAGCTCTTCTATGAAAGTAAAGGGTAGAAAACCAGGAGACCTTCTTTTGGTCTAAGAAATGGAACAAACCAAAGGCAGAAGAAAGGGGTACAGGGAGTCTCTCCTACTCCCTGCTGAACTGTGGGGACCATGGAGAAGGCCTGGGGTGCCGAATCACAACATCTGTTCTCGCGCCCTCAGATTAGCCAGCATTAAGCATCCTTGATCTTTGGACAGGCTCAGCCAGTGCCAAGGCCTCTCTCTAGGCTCAAACACAAACGTACAGCTCAACAGAAGCCAGAATGAGCCTCTGTAGCTCAGGGAGCCTGGCTTTGTGTAAAGCGGCCCCATTCCCCTGCACCCCTGCGCCACTGAACCTCACTGTGTTGGGGGTGACCAGAAGGGCACCCGGTGCTATCCAGGAAGGAGGTGCACTGAGCATGGATCAAGAGCCAGTGCATGTAGACAGTCACCTCTAACTACTGATGTTCCCATCAAATATGTCACACTCATTTTAAAGCACGTACTCAGGGGAGGGACCATCTCCTTGATTCCCAGCGATGCCCCAGGGTCCTTGCCCACCCTGACCATGTAGGGGGTGGAGTGGGAGTAGAAGCCGGTGGGCACTCATTTGCCAAGGAGGCCCCTGGCGGCCGCCTCAGCCAACTCTGCTCTCAACTTAACGAATGGGCTCATTCTCACTTCAAAGGCGCATTCATATTCTCCAGCAGCTTTCAAGAGCCCTTTGAATCGCGTTTTTAAAAACCTTCCGTTAGTTCCTGTCATCACTCGTTTGTTTTAAAACAATAACATTCTCAGCCCCCGAGTGATTCAATCTCTCGGATGGGGGACTGACTCACAGCCTGAATAATCAGAAGCAGCCGGGAGGGTGGGTGGGTGCCAGTGCTTGCACCCCCCCCACATGCATGCACATGAGCACATGCACACAGTAAGCAAATGCATGTGTATGCAACTTATGCACACACACATGCATACAAAAACATAAACACACGTACACACATGCATACACACAGCACATATACAAGCACATATGCTCACATAAGTAAATGCATGAACTTGCACCCATGCAAACACATACACACAGTGCACACAAACACAAGTAAACACATATGTGCATACACAAACATGTACACAAGCACATGCACTCACATAAGCAAATGCATACATGTACAGCTGTGCACGTATACATGTACATACATGTGCACGAACAAGCATGCATATGAGCACAGATGCCCACATAAGCAAATGTCTGTACACATATGTGTACAAAAGCACATACATATAAAAACAAACACATGTATATGTACATACAAGTCCATACATGAACACACAGCATGTAGATGAGCACACATGCCCACATAAGCAAACACATGCATGTGACTTGTGTATACAAGTACACAATACAGTGCATATGTGCATGTACACAAACACACACACACATAAGCAAACAATATGTGTGCAAACACATGCAAACACATGCACGTGCACACACATGCACAGCACACATATCCATGTATACCGGCACACACACAAACAGTGCACATATATATGCACACATGCATACACATGAATGTAAATGAGAACTTACACACAAGCACACATGTGCACACACACATGCATGGATGCACAATGCATGTAAGTACAAGATTACATGTGACACCCACCCACAGAGAATGCATAAAGCATGCACAGTGGGCATACAAACATGGATGCACATGAGCCCACATGCGTGCACTCTGCACCCAGACACCACACCTCTGTAAACTGTTCACTTAGCAATTTGCTCCCAGGGCTGCATCTGCCAGTTCATTCCTGAGACTCTCCCGGGGTGCCACCTCAGAGCAAAATGCCTTTTGCTTGGATGGACTGATTCCGGTGCTGCCGGAGATAATGACTTGGGGAAGGGAAAGGGGTGATGTCTATACCCGAGCAGCCTCCTCCCCTGGTATCCTCTTGGCTTTGGAGAGGGCCTCGGGTGCTCTGGTGGGGAGGGGGACTCGAGGGCAGATACATAGGAAAGCACCTGCCCCCTCTCCTCAATCCCAGTGGTGCGGACACCCTGTTTCCCAAAGGCCCCCCTACCATCTGGATGCAGGGTGGTTATGGGGCCAGGCCTGACTGAGGAATGAGAACAATGGCCTTCTTCCTTCGCCTGGCCTGTCCAGAGGTGCTGGGGGTGTGTGTGCAAGATGCACCGATGGGGAAAAGACAGGGCTGGTAGACACTCTGTGTGTGTGTGTGTGTGTGTGTACTCATGGGGGCCTCCGTGTATCTGTCTCTGTGTATGTGTATCTGTCTCAGCGTGCATCTGCGTGTGCATCTTCATATGAATGTCAGTGTAAGCTCGTGTGTCTGTGTGTGGGTGAGCGTCTGTTTATATGTGGGTTTCTGCCTCTCTCTGTGTGTGTTGGTGTGTGTGTGTGTATCTGAGTGTATTTATACGTAGGAACAGATTCCATGAATGGGTAACACAAAACATTGATGTTGAGCAAGTTACTTCATTTCTTCTCATCTCAGTTTTCTTAGCTGTAAATTGGGTACAAGTTTGTTGCAAGGATTCAATATATTAATAAACATAAAGTGCTTAGAACAATGCCAGTCACATGCTATAGGAAGAGTAGCTATTATCACTATTGACAAAATATGAAGATGGCGGATGACTCCAGAGAGAAGAGCTGGAAGCTGGCTAGCAGCTCTCATCAGCGTTAATCCTAGTTCAGTAGACAACCTGCTAACAACCCTGCTAACCACCATTTCTGTGGACAAGGATGACTGAGAACAGAGAGGAAACTGTGGACAGAAAGAATCCACATCTCAAAGTTGTCATTTTCTTAGACTCTTCTTCAGCTTCAAAAGCACACACGTACAATTCTATTAACCAAAGTATTTCTAATGTTCACATTAAAACAGCAACAACAACACAAGAATAGACAAGAAAATTCTGGGAAAGAATCGCAAAGAGGGGAGACCAGTACCACCAGATTCTGAACGATATTAGAAAGCTGCAATAATTAAAACAGTGTGCCCTTACAAGAGACTGGTGAAGGAGCAGACTGGAGTCTAGAAACAGACGCAAACACATATGGGAATATTTAATATATGATGAGAACAGAACTTCAAATCTGTGAGGAAAAGATCAGCTATTCGGCGCATGGTTTTGGAACAGCTAGGAAGCCATTTGGGTGGGAAATGAAGTTGAATCTCTTCCTCACACTTACCTCAAAATAAATGTGAGGCAGATCAAAGTTTTAAACAAGAGAAATGAAATTCTTAAAGAACCAGGAAACAAAATCACAGAAATTTAAAAATATAGAATCTTGGCGAAGAAAAGGAACTTGTTAAGTCCTTTCTAAGTTTTGCACAAAAACCAGACAGTCATGAAACAGACAGAAACCTTCCACAATGTAAAAATTCTGCATGGGGGAAAATAACAAAAATTCATAAAGGGTAAATGACAAATGACAAATATTTGCAGCTCTTATCATGGACAAAGAGCTAATTTTCTCATAGAAGGAATGTTGTCACAAACCAATAAGAAAAAGATGAACAAACTAATAGAAAAATGAATTTAGGATATGAAGATTTCACAAGCAGGAATGACAAACAACGCTGAAATCTAGGCAGCCATGCTCAATCTCACGATAAGAGAAAAGCAAATGAGAAGGACATTGCTTTTTCCCGGATCCTATCGGCCAAGATCAGAAAGTTTGATAATAGCGCAGGCTGGCTGGGGTGTGCACAGACAAGTTTCACACACAGCCTTGTGGGACTCTAGGTTGATATGGTATCATTGGACAGCAATTTAGCAATATCATTAGAGAAATACTGAACTGCTATCCAGAAGGCTGGTGGTTCAAACCCACCAGCTGCTCCTTGGAAACTCTGTACAGGCTTCTGACGAGTCTGAACATCAAGAAATCAAACAACGTATTGCAGTAGGCAAATTTGCTGCACAAGACCTTTTTAAAGTGTTGAAGAGCAAAGATGTCAACTTGAGGACTAAGGAAGGTGTGCCTGACCCAGGCCATGGTATTTTCAATAACCTCATATGCATCCGAAAGCTGGACAGTGAATAAGGAAGACCATAGAAAAATTGATGCTTTTGAGTTATGGTGTTAGAGGAGAATATTGAAAGTGCCATGGACTGCCAAAAGAACCAACAGATCTGTTTTGGAAGAAGTGCAGTCAGAATGTTCCTTGGAGGCCAGGATGGTCTATCTTCGTCTCTCACACTTCAGACATATTGTCAGGAGGGACCAGTCACTGGAGAAGGATGTCATATTTGGTAAAGTGGAGGATCCAAGAAAAAGAGGAAGACCCCCAGCGAGGTAGATTGGCAAAGTTGCCGCATCAATGGGCTCAAGCATGGCAACAATTGTGAGGTTGGCCCAGGATTGGGAAATGTTTCGTTCTGTTGTGCACAGGGTCCCTATGAGTCGGTACCAACTTGATGGCACCTTACAACAACAAGAGTCTGAACTGGCTCGATGGCACTAACAACAACAACCAAATCTAAAAATACACACCCCCTCTGATCCACCACTCTGACTCAATGAATTTACTCTCTACAGGTATACCTGGGCAGGTGGAAAATGACAGCATTGCATAGCGGAGCTGTTGGTAGCATGAAAAGCTTGAAAAAAACCTGAGTGTGTGGCAGAAGGGTTCTGGTTACAGAAATGATCATACTTCCAAACAGCTAACGGATCCAGAACAGTCTTTGAGAATGACTGAGAATTGAAAATAGCAAGGTGCAGAACTGGGTTTGTGTAGAAGCTTCTTTTTCAACATTTAATTGTACTGTTGTTGTTAAATGCTGTTGAGTCGGTTCCATCATAGCAAACCTGTACAGGGTTTCTGAGGAGCAGTTGGTGTGTTTGAACTGCTGACCTTGTGGTTCAGTGCTGATCCTAGAGCAGTACATCAGGACTCCTTTGCTTGTATATGCATAGATTTTCTAGGAGGTGACAAAAACCTGGTTTCACTGGGGGCTGGGAGATTGGATGGAAGGGAGAAAGGTTTTTCACTCACTACCTTTGTAGCTTTTGTATTGTGTATCACACGATTTATTTACAATCAGATATATGTGTGTGAATGTGTATGTGTTTTATATACATGCACATCAGGTCCCTGAATGGTCCCCCCCCCAAAAAAAAAAAAAATGGAAAGGAAAGGAACACAGGTTTGACAATCTGTTTCTGAAAGATTGTTGCTGTTGTGGTTGTGAAGTGTTGTGTAGAAGAGTAAGAGTCAGTTCCGACTCATAGAGTGCCTGTAGAGGGTTTCCGAGGAGAAGCTGGTGAGTTTGAGACACTGACCTACTGGTTCAAACCAACCTTGCGATCCAGTGATTTGTCCACCGTACTAGCCCCAGATTTACAGCCCTGAAAACCCTGCGGAGGTGACCCCTGTATTACCATGAGTCAGAATTAGCTCAAATATAATTTTGGTTTTATTTGGGGGACTATGTATTTATATGGAAGGAGCTCTGGTAGCGTAGTGGTTACGAATTGGGCTGTGAACCACAAGGTCAGCAGTTTGAACTACCAGCTGTTCCGTGGGAGAAAGAT